GACACGAGGGAGAAAGTCTGAGTAACTGATTTACAAAACGATGCAATGTGGCCTTAAAGCATTTCCCTCACCTGCAGGGTTGTCTTGATTGTGTTCACACAAAGAATTCTTTGCCTACTTTGAGACAGCAGAAGTCCATCTGCCAGCAGAAAAAAAAAAGAGCGTGCTATTCACGACTTCTTCCTCCTTCCAACTCTCTCTGCAATAAGTCTGGCACCCAGCTGTCCACTTACCCTCGAGAAGGAGCTCCAAGCTGCTCTGGGGAAAGCTCAGCTCAGGAGTGAAGCTTTTAAGAGGAAGCTGCTCGTTGTCACGTCCGTAGCAGACCTTTAAAGACTTTAGAGTCCAGTTCAGGTGTCTGTACAGGTAAGAAAATAGGGTCATAAAATATCTGAAACAACTGTGATCACAGTATATACGCAGCTAGATGTAAAATGGTGACTCACCGTTTCTGGCTGTGCATCGACAGGGTGATGTTTGTGTTATCAAATTCCACATTGACCTTGTGGGGAATCAGCTGATGAAAGCGTTCCACAGTCTCAGTCTGGATAAATTCATCATTTTCACACTCTAAAAGGAAATAGTATTTCAGTAATTAAATTAGTGTTATGTAAAGTATTATCAAAAATGTCAAGCCTATCAAGCTGGCATTTGAATTTTAAAAATCTATGACATAGTTAGAAAGACAAAATTAGCACTTCTTCAACCTTTAATAAAACGCAGGTGTTGACTTTCTGACATTGTGCATATTCCACGGGATTTTATTCTGTAACATGCATGTTGTTTAAGACTACACTTAATATTATAACTGTTAGAGTGGAGGTGGATTCTTAATAATGCAACTGATTTTGCATATGAAGGCAGAGCAACCTGGGATTATACTGAGAAGTTAAATCACTAACAACACAACTTTAATGCATTATTTTCTACTAATCTATAAATATGTTTCTTATAAAAATACATACTAAGGTTACGTGTCATTTCCTCTTTTTTGCTCGTGAGAATGTTAGTAGTTATTTACATGGACAGAACCACCAGCCTCAACTGTATGTGCAATGTTTATGTTCGTGTTTTTAACTGCAAGCTATTTTTAACATCTGATTCAATGGCCTAACAGACCTGTGCATCTATAAAGAAACGGAAGAAAAAAATCATCTTGCTTTAAACGCTTTTCAAACATTTTCTCCTGTTTTTGTAATGAATCTATAACTTAGTCCTACTTTGACTGTGTTGGTAAAACTTTATTATTAAGGACATTTCAAACACTCACAGAGGCCAGTGAAGAGCTATGATATGACCTTGTTTTCATTTTCTGGTTGGTTAGCAGAACAGCTAAAAATATCACAGATGATGGAAAATGTCCAGGCACTTTTAGAACACGCAAAAGATCAAATGCAAATGCAAAGGCAGAAAAAAACAACAAGTAGGGCAGCACAGAGTGAAGGTCCTGTGGATGTACAACAGCCAAAGCACTGTTCTTTATTCATCTAACACTTGACAATACTAATTGCAGGATAGACCGTTTTAAAATGTGATTTTCATAAGGGTTCTTCCCTCCAATTCAATAAACATATCATTAAAAAAAAAGATTATTAAAACTTTACCATCTGTAATGGTACAAATATGAATGCAAAACAATACAACAAATCAGACTTGAAAAATAGAATGAAATAAACTGAAAGTTAACTGCAGTGGTTGGATAAAACTGTACTGTGCAAAAGTCTTGGGTCATTCATAATTTCTTTATATTTTGGTAGGAAAATGGGAAAAAGGTAGAGTGATTTATTGAAACATGTTCAAACATGTGTGGAAATACAATTCATAAGGAAAAAACAGAGTCTGTACAAATGTAATGAGCTTGAAGGTCAATATTTGGTATAGCCACCATTATTCTTCAAAACAGCTTGAACACTTGGGAAGCTTTCTAGTAATTTCTTTCAGTAGTCTTTAGAAATACTTCTCCAGGCTTCTGGAAGGACATTCAACACTCTTCTTTGGACACTAGCTGTTTTGTTCTCTGTCAAGATGATACCGCAATACTATTAAGGTCTGGAGAGATGGGGGATGTGCCTTTGTGTCTGTCCAGATTGTTAATCAGTTGTAGGTAGTTTTTTTTTTTTAGGCTTCACACTTTAATTTGCCCTGCACCTGTGCAGTTTCATCAGATGTTTTTTTAAGGACACACTGCACACCATGCACAGATATTCATTATATTTGGCTAATAACTGTCTGTGAATCACCTTGTTAGTGCAAAAATACTATTTTATGTTTGCCAAACTGTGTCATGTTTGGCATTTTTTGTAGACTCAATAAAAAAAAGGAACAAATAAAGCGCCTAAAGATACAATTTAAAACTGGTTCTTTGCTAAGTTGTCTGCAATGTGTAGACACAACACTGGTTCATCCCTTTAAAAAAAAAAAAAAAGCTTGAATGATCAATGTTAAGGAGTTTAACAGCAAAAACATTCCTCTGAAGATGGTCATTTACAAGGACTGGACTGAAAATGAGGGAACAAGCGGTCAATGTCCATTAAAAAAAACATTAAAAGACTTTCAGAATGCCTGGACCACTTTGAAAAATTACAACAGTCTCACTCCTTGGAAGCAACATACAAAGAAATGAGAGGTGGCTCAAGACTTTTGCACAGTACTATAGATTACAATTTGGAGAAAAGAACGAATGCAAATGAATGTGATGGATAAACACTATACTTAAAAATCATTGCTTCCATTTCAGAGGTCAAACGTTACTCACCAAATGCACCATGATCTTTCTCTTTGTGGGAAACTGCTGGAAGCTGGAGTTGACTGAGGAACAGCCCCTCGTGCAGCTCTGCCATTAGAGTCCTCACACTCAGGGACAGACAACCTGGCTTCATCTCTGGTAAACTCACATCTCCAGATAGCAACAGGCTAAGTGCCACTTCAGCCAAACATATGTCCTAATATGGAGAGCACATCATTTACAAACATTCAACCACCTGTTTCTATTTCAGTGACAGTTACTCCACTCACCAGTTCACTGCTTTTGAGCACTTTACTGCTTAGTTGTCCAACCGAGAAGTTCCATGCCAACCTGTAAAGAAATTTTTCAACATGGATTTAATTTTGGACAACTAATACAAACTATTGATTCAGTCAGATTAGTTATAAACCAAAATAAATAATACCTTTTACTCTGGTGGTCAAGTAACAAGGTGATACCTGCAATAGTCATGTGCCATAGAGATTCTGGCAGTGCTAGGTTTAGGACCATCACGTTGATGGAGCTGATGTGGAATGACAGCAACTGGAAATACAAAACAGGAAGTGAGATATTGTGTACAAATAAGCATAAAAAGAAATGTTAACTTATCGCCAGCCTTCATACTTGTGACAAGAATCGAAGCGTTTTGGGGCTGACAGAAATCTTCGCCGACTTTTTTCCATGGCTCTGCTTCACCAAAGGTTTTAGTGGTGCTTGCAAGTCAAACCGGACTCTGGTTTCTCCAACACAGAATGCCAGGTATCGCCTGAAACACGACTTATGATATTATTTGCTGCTAACTGTTTTATCTCAGAGTATCTGGGCAACACATTAAGCTACTTACGGTAAATCCTGGTTTAGAAGTTTACTTGAAATCCATATCCTGTCAATTTCCTGCCATTCACAGAATTACAGCAAGATAAAAAAAAATACATTTGATAGATGGTAAAGTACACAAACTCAGTCAGAAGTGAACCATTGACATGGGAGTGGTTGTTTAGCATGTGCCGACTACATAAATGTCATGTAAACAAAAGCGTGTCCTACCAAAGTATGCTGGGGGTGAAACTGGATACTGACTCCTTGGACAGAAAAAAATCCTACTGATTTAATCTTCAGATGAGCATTGAGGGCAGTTTGGAAGAATCGCACAGCCAGGGTACATATGAGCCACCTAGAACAACGGGAAAATGTGCTACTTTAAATGAGGAGAGCAAGGAAACATCTATTAAGCAGTGCTTGCAGTTTAAACCATACCAATGATCGCTGTACTGTAGAAATTTCCACACATTCCTCACCTGAAAATGGCACACAGCACACCAATAGCCAGCAAAAAGATTAAAAATAATGATAGCAGCAGGAGAGACATTGTGTCTCTAGTTGTTCACACCCAAATCTTGGGACATGAGTCTGGCTGCTCCTTATCTTCTCTCAGCTGCTGTCAAAGAGGAAGAGATGTACTTAAGCACAACATCCAGGTTCCACTCACTACTGATAGGTGACACCGACTGCTTGCAAACAGTTGCTATAACTGTAATTAGCTGGGGCAACACTTTCTACACAAGTTAACAACCGTTCGTTGTGGAAAACGTTAACAGCTAGCCTCACAGAGCTAACACCGCTAATTAACTACAGTGTAATTACAAACCGACCACGAAACAGCACCTAGCTAAACTTTATCGCTCAGCTAACAGTGTAAAGAAAACACAAACCTCTACTAAAACTTGTTTCCCATTACCTAGCCGCCAGTGAGAAGCACTCACTGCCAAGCAGCAGCAGCAGCAGCATTAGCCAGTAACCCAGCACTAAACAGTTAACGAAATTTGCCGCCGCGTCATCCAAAAATCTTAAGCAAATCTGGGCTAGCACTGTAGCACGCTAACGCTACCGCTAACTTAGCGGAACTGCCAGTTGGCACTCTTTTTTGCGCCTGTTGGTCGTCTTTGGTCTTTTTGGCTTCACTCTCTTACAAAACTCACTTACCCTGACATATTCACAACACCGAGCTGTCGCAGCGCAGTGTAACGCTGCAGACAGAGCAGTTTCATGTGACAGTTGACTCAGAGCTTAGTAAACACTGTTCTCCGGCTCGCCGTGCTCAGCTGGCACTGGCAGCTTGGTGGAGCGCAGTGGTGGGAGCGGAGCTGGGGATTGGCCAGTAACGCTGTCTAAGCAAGTAATCTTTAACTAAACAGTCACATATTACTCAGCGGTTCACACCAACTTTAAACTAATCCATAAACAAGCAAGAAAATAAAATGCGCAACCTTTATTCCAGTCAGACATCAGTTTTACAAATACCAAATAAACAATTTATTCCCATTGTGCACACAAGTGTTAGACTCCTCTGCCACCCCCCTTTGGGAAAAAAACGTATTTCTACATTCTCAGGTAACATCCCTGCACCTGCCAGCCTTTTGGTCATTTGATTGTTTGCATATATGCAAAATGCTTCAACTAATAAGGAAGAACATACAAAATCAGGCAAATTCTCCTTAATTAATTTCTGTTATGCTGTATGGCACATGTTTTCTAAATACAGGTAGACATGGGTAGAATATAAAACAACAGGTTCATGTGCACAAAATTAAGATCACATTGAAATGTCTTTTATAGATAAAACTGACTTGACTTAATGTTTTTTGCCCATCACTCAGCCTTGCTTTTAGGAAGAATATTTATAGGGAAAAAAATCCATAACAAGTGGTCCATTACATCATCTCAGGGCACAAATGTTTTTACATAACACAAAATTAATCTTACGCTGCCAGCCTAAGGCAGATCTATGCTACAGGTGCGTTGTGCGGCATCTCATCCTCATTAACTGATGAAAACTGACAGGTCGGCTGCTCCATCTCATGCAGCAGTCTTCTGTTTGTTGTGTTTGGCAAACCATTCATCACTTTTATCTTCAGCCATAGCCTGAAAAGTGTTAAAAGGATGACAAGCACAGTGAATATCTGACACATGCTGGATAAGCATTTGAGGGCTATGTGTTATAGTAACACCAACCTTATCAAGGAACTCATTCCCTTTGGGATCCAACATGGAAAGCTGCCTAAAGGCCTCATCTCCCACAAAACAAATCTCATGGCCATCCTAAAGCAAACATTTTACGTTTAATATTGTTCACTTAATGAATTTGACATCATTTCAGCATTATTTTGGGAACGTGCTTACAGGATCAGCCAAAATAACCACTTCTACTGTAGCTTTTCCAGGAGTATCCAAGCTGACCAATGGGGTGAGAATTTTCTGATTTTCCTTTTTCATCAAGGCTTCAATATCCGGTAGCTGAGGAGCGTAATAATTTCTTATTATAATGTTGTTGGAAATAATTTATCTGCAAGTTGACATTAGCTGTTTAGAAAAATGATAATTTACTTGCTCCCGCGGGCATGAAAACGCTATTCTCCCAAAAGCTGTTCCATGGTCAACCATCCCTCCAATGTCCCGAAGCTCCAGTTTACACTACAAAAAAATTGACACATAATACTCAGGCATCAACATAAACCACAAACATACAATTCAAACTTTAACAATAGAACTATTTTAAACTTATCTTAGGGTTTAACGTTTAATTTCTTTGACTCACTTGACTGTCTGCAAATCCCATGAGCACCATCTTCTTTTCCTCATTTTTGTCCATCACTTTCATCCCCAAGAGTGTGGACCAGTAGTGGGTCGATCTTTGGAGGTCTGATACCCCGAGACAAACCTTCTGCACAGGGTCTGGGAACAGATTACAGAAAGTAAGTGGTTAACAGGTTAACAGATGGGTAATTCTGTAGTCCTTTTCTACTCTATTTGAGCACTTACAGCACTTTTTTACTGCAAGTTGCATTCAGCCATAAACACACATATTCATAAAATTGTCTCTTTTAACCTCACACACAGACACACACACACACACACACACCGGAGCAACTCAGGGTTCAGTATCTTGCGCTAAGGATACATGCAGAGTAGATGGGCTGAGGATCAAACCACTGTGTGAACACACTTCACTTGTGTGTCATTGGCTGCATATGAAAAAATAAATATATACACTTCTGAGAACCAGCCTATTCATTTATGTCCTCCGCAATGGGCATTTGTTTTTGGTCTATATCTTGACTTATTAGACCTACCCTAATAAGTCATGATGTATGAGCAGAGGACATCCTGGACTTTCCATTGATATTTAAATTCTTTGGGTGGCTTCATTTAGCATCAAAGAGGCAGGAAATCACAAGTTCAATGGGAATATTATTTTTTCTTCGGTTCTAAGGGAAGATATGGTTACGCAGCCTAGATATGGAATTTAAAATTATGTCTAAATAATGTCTTTTAAATAAGTGCACTGATATGTGAAAATTAGCAACTCTTTTATTTGTAATTTGGTATTTTAGCTTATAAAATGATTCACATCATATATACTGGCATCTGGTGTTTTGATAATCACTCTTTATGACTGCTGGAAAGTGACTCTGGATGTGCAAAAATAAACCCTTAAAAGAAATAAGATTCAGAATTAAGTTGCTGTACTTTAGACATCTGGGTCTCCTTAAAATTCTTACCCAGCACCTGCTTACACTTTTTCCACATAATTCCAGGATTAATTCTGTTGATTCTGATTCCAGCTCAGTGATCATATGCCTTTTTTCATACAGGGTCAGAGACAGATTTAACAGCTGTCACTAGTGAGGAAGCATCCATATGTGGAACATGTGTGGCACATGTGAGGAGATGGAAACTATTAAGCAGGTTTTAATAGATCGCTCCAACTATGTCATGGAGAGAAACCCTACGCGATCAGAACTGTCAAGAATGGACATTACAGCCTTTTCTCTAAAGTCAATATTGAACTCTGATCAATATGAAGTTACAAAGTGTTCATTTAAGTTTGTGCATACCAGACTGCATGTCAAGATTTGATCCTTGATGGAGGTTTATGAAACAACCCCCCCCCCAAACAAACAAACAAACAAACAAACAATATGCCTTTGTTGCATCCAGCCTGCTAGAAACCCAAGAAAAAGAGGAAGAAGCTGAAGAAGGAGCAGGCAGATTTGACTTGTGTGACACTCACCATTAGGAGGTTGCTCTTTGTCCACCAGATAGAAAGGATAGCCCCCAGGAGCCTGAGTCAGATACAGAGCCTCTCCCACCTCAGTGAGAGGCCACCCAAGACATTTAGCATTGCTTACAGCTTGGCTCGACTGCAGAGTGATCCCCTAACATGAAAACACACGTACAAATATCCCATTATTGCCACTGTACACTGAATAACAAGACAATCTTTTCCTGCATGAAATGTGAAAACAAACTCTCACCCACCAAGAAGTCATTGCCAAGTTTATATTCTCCCACACCATAGTTGTAGGTCAGTTCAGCAACAAAATGGTCATCCTCTGGACCAAAGCCAACCATTGTCTTGCTCCATTTCCCATCATAGGGGCTGTACGGGTAGGGGGTGAAGGCAGGTTTACCACTAGTGTATCAACATCTGCATTGTCCTGTGAAAAAAATATTTGCCCTCTTCCTGATTTTGTATGTTTTGCATGTTTGTTACAGTGATATTTATTAGACCATCAAACAAATTTTAATATTAGTCAAAGATAACCTGAGTGAATTAAAAAAAATATCCACTGGCAATGTTTTAAAAAAAATGAGACAGACCTAACAGAACCTGGCTGAAAGATATCTAAAAGAAACACATCATGCCATGATCTAAAGAAACACATCTGAAAAAAAAGTCACTGATAGTTCAGTTAGTGACTAACACTATCAGTCTGGAAAGCATTACAAGGCCCTTTGTATGGATTTGGGACTCCAGTAAATCATGGTGAGAGCCATTATCCACAAATGGAGAAAACTTTCAACAGTTGTGAACCTTTCCATTAGTGGCCAGCCTACCAAAATTCCTCCAGGAGTGCATTAACAACTAATCTAGTCACTAAAGAACCCAGAACAACATTTAAAGAACTGCACGTTTCCCTTGCCTCGTTTAAGGTCAGTGTTCATGATTCAACAATAAGAAACAGACCAAAACGCCCTAGCAAGTCTACCTCTGAATGGCTTAAAAGGGGAGGGAGGGAGAGAGAGCGTCCAGACGTAAATCTGACCTTAAAGCGTTTTGTCCATGTTGGAAAACCATCCATTGTGGCTGAGTTCAAACAATTCTGAAAAGAAGAGTTGGTCAGAATTCCTCCACAGTGACGTGAAAGACCTTTTGACCGTTATCTTAAACGCTTGATTGCTGCCAAAGGTGGCATAACCAGTTATCAGGTTTAGGGGGCAATACATAGTTTCATTAAGCCCTGATTTGTTTGACCTTGATCTGAAACATGAAAGTGTAACAGGAAGGTGGCAAATACTTTTTCCCCCCACAGGACTTTTATTTAGCGTTATACTGAGCTCAAGATTCAACTGGAGTTGTGTCTTATATACCCATTACAAGTTGCCTTGCAGCCTTCCTCAAACTCTTCGTGTCTTAAAATCTGAAATAAATAACAAGTAGTGAGAACATTACAATTCAGTGATGTCCACTTCCACTTATACAATGATAACTATGGAAATTTTCTCAGGTTGTGCAACCCTGAAATTATCCGACATCAGCAAAAGCTGCTAATCTACGGCGGCTTCAGTCCAATCCTACATTTAAATGCAGCTCAGAAAACTTACCTTCATACCTAGAACATCTCTGTAAAAGGTGGCAGTTTTGGCCCTGTCACCAACTTTGAAAACAAAATGCAGCGCTCGTCTCAAAGCCATGTTTGTTGACAGCCGTGCTACCTGTGGTCGTATCGATTTTTCTGTGCTCGACTGGTAATCACCAATGAACACATACCAATGTGTCATTGTTTTCTCGCGAGATTATGATCAAGCGTCAAGTTTGAAGCGTCAATAAATGTAAAAAAAAAAAACATAAAACGGCTACTATAGGACTCGTTTAGCAATTTGTGACATATTATGTTATTGAATAATTACATTAATAACGCCACCAAATGTGTTTGGTTTATTTTTAATTTGTAAACGCAATGTCAGCTATTAAAAGGTGGTGGCGCTAGGCGGGTTAGCTTGTATTTCTGAAACATCCTGACAGATGAGAGAAGAAGAAAGCAGGCAAAATGGCAGCGTACACAAGAAGCATGATCTGCCTGATTTCCATGATAGAGCGACATGCTTTCCTAACAACCAGGAGCTGTGTCACTGTGGAATCAAAACAGTATGTACGCGGACTGAGGAGGAAACCTGTCAGAGTGCTGTTTCCTGAAAACGAGACGGGAAAAGTCATAAAGGCGCCTCAGATTCAGTCAGACGAGCCAAAGATCCAGAGGGAGACCAGGGGAAGAATCATATCTACAGCAACACAGCATCACGAAGAGAGAAACTCTGTCAGGACGAGGACTGATGCGCAGTCAGCTACGAAACATGCTTTTACTGTGACAAAGAATGAAGTGGACGGACTGCGCTATGAGAGGGCTTCGCCTGGAGATAAAAGACTGGCGTAAGTCTCACCGAGTGAGGGCAGCAGCAGAGGTGATTCAGCCAGAGGCCATGGGCCCTGGCATACAAAACAAAAGCATAATTATTAGGAATACAGCAAGAACAAAGTTGATGTGCCGAGATGTAGTAACCACAGAGAGATAAAGCTGATGAGCCATACCATGGAGATGTGGGAAAGAGTTTTTGAAGCTTGTTTAACGAGAGAGGTGATGGTCAGTGAGCACTACGTAGAAAGAGCAGTACAAATGTGATGTTTGCTTTGAGAGAACTGATGGAGAAATATTGAGATGGTCAGAAGGAGTCAGACTGTAACTTTGTGGATCTAGAGAAAGGATATGATAGGGTGCCAAGAGAGGAACTGTGTAATTTTATGAGAAGGTCAAGAACTGCAGTATGTATGTCAGGACACCCAGGTGCATGTGGCCCTCCATCAACATCTTGTCCCAAGGTAGACATAGATTTTGTAGCTGTCCTCATCCTTCTGAAGCCATTCCTTCCTTGTCCTCCTCTTTCTCCACATCTCTGCTCTAGGAGGTTAGTGAGTGTGGCTCGTTCCAGGACGTTTCGGGACCACCAGGGTAAAATCCTTCTTGAAGGCAGGCGTTTGATCTGTGACGCCCTGGATGCTGGTGCTAAACCACAGACTGTGTTCTTCAGCACGGTGGATCGACTCAGAGAGCTGCCCTTAGATAAGCTGAGAAGGGCCACACTAGTGAAAGTCAAGTTTGAGGACATCAAGCTCTGGTCTGACGTTGTAGCCCCACAGGGAGTGATCGGTAAGGCTCAGATTTTCTTTTTTGGCTCACTAATATCTCAATTATTTCTGACTCTGACCTCTTCTTCTGCAGCGATATTTTCTCGCCCAGATCCGTCACAGTTAAACTTTGCAAGTAAAGGTCACTCAGTGCCTTTGTCTCTGATATGTGACAACATCCGGGATCCTGGGAATCTCGGGACTATGCTGCGATGTGCTGCTGCTGCTGGATGTCATAATGCCCTCCTCACAAAGGGTAGGTTTACAGTAATTATTAGAGATCAAGTTAATAATCCTGTGAAACCTTCCTTTGAATTTTGGGAACTTTGCATTTTTTTCAAACAGGTTGTGTGGATGTTTGGGAACCTAAAGTTCTCCGTGCAGCAATGGGCGCCCATTTCCGCCTTCCCATCTATCCCAGCCTTGACTGGGATGATGTTGAAAACCATCTCCCTAAACCCGTGACTGTCCACGTGGCTGACAGCAGTGGCAGCCCCGACAGAAGTAGAGAAGTAAAGGTTAATGTGTCTCCTGAACCCTCCAAAGCTGGAGATTACGGCTGGGTCAGCACGAGACCCAACCGCAAAAACATGGAGTACGAGGATTACGATTCGGATTCGGACTCTGAACATGAGGGACTTTCACTCCCCAGAGTGGACACTAAGCTGTACTATGACAGTTGGGCTCAAAGCCCAGCTGCTCTTGTGATAGGTGGTGAGACGAATGGTTTGAGCCTTGAAGCAGTCAAGTTGGCAGAGAAAACTGACGGCCACAGGCTCTTTATTCCCGTTGTTCCTGATGTGGACAGCTTGAATTCTGCCATGGCAGCTAGCATTCTTCTGTTTGAAGGCAGGAAGCAACTCTTAAAACTACAAACATCTGGAAGGAAACGTCAATGTAAAGCTGAGAAATAGTTTCCATGATGCTTCTATTAAATATCAGACTGAACAGTGTCCCATATAATACTCTTAACAGTACATTTGCAAACTGTGTTTCTGATTTATGTGAATTTGAATGTGTTGTTTTCTTTCACTGCAAAAAAAACAAAAATAAAGCATTATCTACAGATAAGCCTAGATAAATCTGGATTAGGTGACTGTGAAGCATCCCTCAGTTATGAAACTACTGGCTCAGGCAAATAACTTTCCTTGCTGTACTGAGCATTTTGTCTCCACTCGCCTCACTTCATCAGTATACATGCCATTAATTCACATCATTAACTCCTCCTCTCCATGCTCCTGTTTTTCCCCTCTTTCTCCCCCCTTACCCCCAAATGAGTCCCTGAATGTGGTTCTGTTGGAGGTCTCTTCCTGTTAAAAGGAAGTTTGAATTATGATGATGAATACAGTTGAAAGGTCAAAGAATTTTTGGTGAGTTCCTTAAAACAACTACCCTCAGTTCCTCATATATTCATGGAAATTTTAAAGGTGCACTTTAATTTAAATATTTGTATTAGCAACAAAATGCATCAAATTTCTGTAATACTGCAACTTTTTCCCCCCCACACACAAGCTTTGCTGTATGTGTTAATCACGATTGCATCAAATACTTTTAAGTTCATAATAAGCCTTGTGCTGGAAGGTAAGCAAAAAAAAAAAAAGCAGCTATTTCTTCCCTTCTAATAGTTTTCTGTTGGAGCCTTAACCAGATGTTTGCTCTTATTAAACAAAGGAGAAAAAAACGTTTTTTTATTAGCAGCTACATTGTTTATGCAAAAGTGCAGAACTTTACCCTGCTTACTAGTACAGCTCAAGGTCAGAAGTTTCTGTTCCACCTGAGATTTTAGTGCATCAGCAGAAAGTCGAGGTACAGACTCTCCCATAATAAATGCAACATTAAGTTTGTCATTTGATCCCACACAGTTTAAACTTCTGAGAAAGGAACTGGAGCATCACTGCACTGTCTTTTCCATATTCAAGAGCTAACTTTATTGATAAAACTTAGCAGGAACAAAACTCTTGTGCTTGCCAGTGAATGTTTAATTGGTGTGAGAAGCTATGACTAAGGTAACAGGATATAAAAGGGATTTATACATTCAACTTTTCAAAAAAAAAAAGAAAAAAAAAAGCCACTTTTGTGCCTCTAGAAAAAAAAAAATTGGACTTTTTCCATTAGGGGGACCTTCACAGAAAGTCCTCATAATGACTTTGAGATGAGAACCGACTAGAGATGACTTTCACTCATGTCATGACACAAGAAGACAGGGGGGTTAAAACATCAGTCACTGGTCTGTCACAAGCAAGTAGAACATGCTCTTTACTGTATGTGCACCTGTCAAACTGTGGGATATTTATTTATTTAAATAGGGCCACGAAGGCGTACAGCTACATCCAACTCAAGTTTAGCACATCTGCACTACAGGTGAAATACAACTGTAAAAAAAAAAGAAAAAAAAAAAGATGATTTTATTTATTCTTTCTTAACTTCATTCAGAAAACAAAAGTAACAAGAATCTTGCAGACAAAACAGAAAGCAAAAGATTGGCTGTATAAGTAGGTCCACTGGGTAATTCTCCGTTTTCTCTAGAAATGCCACCATGAGAGAATAAAAAAAAAATAATTCTGAGGCAAAAAAAAAAAAAGAAAGAAAGAAAAAGAAACAACAGAATCTCCATATATATTACTGTATGGACTATAGTCAATGCAAGGCACCACAGGAGAAAGAGGGGACTCCATGAAAGAGGAACACATCTAAAATAAAAATGCTAAAATGCCAGTAAAAAGTGAGACATCTCTCTAACAGTCAGGATTGTAGCTGGGAGAGAGAGTGGGAGCCTGGAAACTGTGGGGTGTAGCAATAGGTCAGGGATGGATGATGGCGTGAGTCCCATGTAATATGTCCAGTTTATACGTGGACAGTCTCTTTAGATGGGCTCCGGTTTGAGCTTTTCAGCCAGGAAGTCGCCGACAAACTGCTCCACCACGGCCGGCGTGATCTCCTCCACATCGCGAACGTACTTAGCACGGGCCGACATGTCCAGGATCGTGAGCAGAGGTGCCGCTTCGGGGAGGTTGGTGTAGTCTCGCAGAGAGTCGCTCATGTCATCCTGCAGGGAAAGAGAAGGAAGTACAGCGCTGAGTGTGATTTTGTGTGATAGAGCGGTACACTCCTCACATGCGGGAATGGTTAAGCTACAATCAGGGCCTCTGGTGGGACTCAGGCCAAAATGACACAAATCTGTCATTGCTTTGACTAAAGCAAGCCTGTGATTAAAATTGTAAAATAAAAAAAAATAAAAAAGTTTAACAGCAAAATCTTTGCCTTCTCCATCCTTTCACCACATGTTTCAAGTTTCAAGTCTTGTCACATATAGCCTCCTGACATTACAGGTTGGGATACCACAAGAAATTCCATCATGATGGAGAGGAAAATAAAAATATACAAATATATAAAGTCTTTGTTTCCTGTAGTTTTGGGTTGCTGCGAGTTCTGCTGTGTAGTGAATTCAACATTTTTTTCTTTTGCATGACTTCAGTTTCACACCTCATTTAATTTATTGCACAATGTGACAACTTCAGTCTCTAAATTATTAAAGAAAAACTAGAAGAAAATATCCTCTATCGAGGCCAATGCATTTCAAAAAGACAAGTAATCTGGATTAATGCTACACCACAAAGTGTAAGGTTCAGCCTGGAAGTTTTAGCATAATTTTGGTGAGTGGGCAAATCTTACATATGATTGGCCCAACATGAGTAATCAGTCCAGAAGTTCTCTCAAGAACTGTCAGCAGTTAGAACTGCCGGTACATGTATATTAGTACTTCAAACATTTTGTTTTCATTGCTAGTTCGAGCTAAACAAATCTAGTGCTTGCTGATGACACTGTGCGCAGCGCTCCGAAGATGCATTTTAAAAGTGTAAACAGGCTCACAGTTTTATTTAAAAGGGCCTGCAAGTGAAAGAAGGCCGTGAATCCCAACTCTACTGCAGCATAAACAAACAGCTAAACCTCCGGTGTAGAAATGTCACCTAAAATGCCTGAAAATGTCCCACAAAGATCAACAGGATTGCAAGTGCTGCAGTTCTGTACATGGCATGGGGATGTCTTGTTGGGAGATAAGAGGGAGCTTTTATACTGGCCACAATTGCTGACATGGCATTTGAAGTACAACCAAAAACCTGGAGGAGACACTCTAGACATTTCCGTACTCCACAGCGGTTCACACTTCAGAAAACGAGGACAGCGCCCTGCACTTGAACTATGCCACGCTATAAAATCCAGAACTGCTTGGCACCATTTATTAATGCACACTTCTTGAAAGAGAATATGAGAAACTCTTCTCTGCCATCTTCCTGCAGGCGGCCTGCCCAGAGAGACCACAGAGCCGCTCCTTAGTCACACATCCTGCTGCATAGAAAGACGGGAAGGACCCCGGTGGGCGTCCAAAAGCATCCCTCCTTTATCAAAAGCTCACCCACATCAAATTTGACTCCCATCGCAGAGCATATTAATGTTAGCGGGAGATGGAGCAGTGCAGATTTGAGAGGGGGGGGTGTTAAAAATACATTGCTGCTGGGTGTATAGTGGGGATTCCAGTTTGAGTTCTTTCCAGTTATTTTAAAACAGCTTCACCATTTTTTAGCCTGAGGCTTGATGTCACCTTTCACCCCTTAACATGTCAGGATTACAACCTCTGTACCCAGAGATTATAGATATGAATCACTACAGGGGGAAGGCAAGCAGCAACTTTCAAACAAGCTTGAGAGGGCCATCAATTATTGAGGCTGAACATGAAATCACAGTTTCGTAATTCAGCTTAAAGTTCCAGCCGCGAGCGCTTCGGCAACCAGCATTCCTGCCTGGACAGAGATCCATTATTCTCGGCGAATGAATTTCATGTGTTGAGTTTAGCGAGGTCACATAGTTCTCTTAAATGCTTACAGCTAATATACTAATATCATTTGCAACATTTTCCTCATCCTCATGACACGATGGCCCAGCTTCTCCTCAGCTTAGCTTGCTGGCTTGGAGGGAGAGCTTCAAAGATTAAAGATCACTTCCATATGGCAAAGATTTAGTTTCAAATGCAGAACATACAAGGAAAGGCCAGAGGGTGGCACTGCAACAAAGAGCTGGACTTTAAATAAAGGCCTCTGATGCTGTTAGTTACTGATTTATGTGACAGAGTGAGTTAAGTGGAACAAAGTCAACGATATCGCAACTTTGGATGGATTTCCTGCTTCATGTGATACTCCTCGAAGTTCAATTTGTTGTCTCTTCTTTGTTATCAGAGGATCCGCAGCTACTCTTGTTAAATGGATCAAACCCCACAATGAGCCCTCAGACTTTTCATTAAATAGCTGCACCGCTACCTAAAAAGGATAAGTATGCCAAGATGAAGTCTGTGATCTCTACTTTCCAAAACTGCTAACAGATGGAACAGATGAATTGAAGTGTGGTGTTTTGTTATAGGCAGCTAACTTCCTCTGAATAGACCATTTTATTATGCTGCAAATCACCATACATCAACTACTTAATGCTCACAGATGTAAGCTGTCACTAAGGACAATGTTGTTACGAGAGAAATACTGCTTAATACTACAAATAAAAGCTCTTGCTTGCAGGCTCACTTGCAGCCATACGAAGCATAGATTAGAGATCATCTGTAAAGAAACCACAACGAGAGAAACTCCAAAATCCATCAGCATGATCTTTTCAGCATTTTCGATATGAGAAGATGTAATCTCTGCAACAGTCTTCACCTCCGTGCATATTTTTTATCTTTTGTGGCTTTTGGCTTGTGGAAACTGCTTCTCACGAGGTGCAGTCATTTCAGAGGGGCCCTCTGCAGCTCAGCCGAGAACAAAAGAAAGAAAAAAGACAAAGGGCCTCTCTTCTGTAACCCACACTCACAGCTGTGATAAGGCTCAGCTTGTGTTTACCGTGTGGGACCTGCTGGGCCGTGCCAGGCTTGTTCTGATTACTGATGCATTGTGGCATTTCAGAAACAGACATCGACCATCTGATAAGGATTCAGCTGATAATGATGAACCCAGCCACTCGCCCCTGAGCTGGGGTTGTGTCCATCTCACAGGTCACCTTTGATGTCCTGAGAAAAAGTCGTAATTGTCATAGATATATC